ATTGTAGATCTCGTCGTCCTCTACAAGAAAGGTCGTATACAATTTTCCCGTATATCCAAAGGTTTGGGAGTTATTGGCCAAAAACGAAAATTTGGAAGAAATTGAAGGGGTACCCCTTGGAAAAATTTTGGAAAAAACGAAAATTTTTTTTTGTTGTTTATTATTAGCAATGTTCTTCCGATGTTTGATTTCTTTTTAAAAAATGCGTTTCTAAAGTGCATAAACTTTGGGATTGACTGTATAACCAATACATCCTTAAAGGAGTATTATGGTCGAGAAGTATGTAGATCATATTCATCTAGCATCTAGGAACTCCAATCTGACATTCCAGGGGACGTAAATATTTAGTTCATCGTTTTACGATTTTTAAAGGGAAAAAATTCCGTGAGCGAACGATCGACGGAAAATTTATCGGGAATCGATGAGTTCATCACAGCCGCAACCCGAAAAACGTCGATCGAACGAGATGACGCGGAGCCGCGAAGCGCACAAAAAACGCAGCAGCGATACGCGTGAAATCTAAATAATTCACGTGGAACTTCCGTGGCGTTGCGGAGACGGACGGAGGGGAGACGACGTGATCTTTGATAAACGATCGTTGATCTCGATAAGCACGGCCACGATTCCCATTAACGACTAAACGAAACCGACGATGATGAGGATGAGACAGCCACGCGAGGTATATACTGCACCGACTCAAGGCTGAGCGATAATCGAGAACAAGAACGAGTAACCGCGTGGATGAAACGTTATGTAACCGTGCATTAGGAATGCAGAGGATACAGCGAGATGATAAAACTACGAGGGTCATTAATTGCAACGTGCAATAGTACATTCGATAAAATAGTAATAAGACGATGTAAGATTTCATTCATGTGTCAATACCCGAGAATTTATATACATATATATTTTATTTATCATTTTTCCTCGATGCGTAGTATTTGATTAATCAACTTATGACCTCGTTATTCTCCTATCGACTGTACATACGGGCGATAAAATAATTATTGCCGAATGGTCGTATCTTCGTTGGAGGCATTGCCTCATCGAACGGTAGATCACCGTGAATCGCACCGCATTTATCGCAACGAGCTTGTCAAAGTTTGGGTATTATGTCCAAAGTGCGGCACACGGTGCACGCGTGTTAATCAGGAAAAGATACGTCCAATCGTTGTTTAAAAACAGATGAAAGAAACGGAATGAGTAATTACACGATAAGGAATGATAGCTATTTCACTTTGTTGATCGTTCCGTACAGTCGTAAAATTTGTTAATACAGGAGAATGAGTTGTTCCTTGGATGGAAATATTCTAGGGATGTATTTTTATTGTATTCCGATTGTTCCTTGATAAGATAGATGACCGATTCTATCCAGAACAAAGCGGTCGATGCGTCGATACTGCTTATCAGGTAACAGTTACGCGACTGTGCGAAGCCTAATGTTATTATACTCGTTTGATATCGAGGCACACGTTCCCCGCGAGCTCGGAACGCGATTCCTTATCGACGATTCGCTCGAGCCGCGCCACTGGTGCCAGCTAGTCTACCGTTTGCTCTACTGTTATCTCCGCTGCGATTCTCTTTTATCAATCTGCAATTTACGGTTTTTTCCTTCTGCGCGGCGACGACAAATCAACGTCAGCTGGTCGGTGCGCACTGAGTGCAAAAATTTTCTCTCCAATTTATAATGCTCGTCTCGCAGATCACCGCTCGATTTCTCTATACGCGTCGACCATCAGGGACATGCTCTCGCGAGCTTCGTCGAAGTAACCCTCCTCCATACCCTCCCCCACGTAATGATGAACGAAAGCTCTCTGCTGGAGCATCAAGTCGAATTTACGAGCAAGCGACAACCAGTTTTTCTTGATAGCAGTGTTATTGCTGGCCATCACTACGGTTCTCCTGGAGGGTGCCAAGTCACCCCCTGGAACGGTGGTGGTCGGTTGATAATTGATTCCTACCTACGAACGTTCAAGATCATTATAACTACGTAAATGATGATGCGTCTAAAGTGATTGTCCGAGTCTAAACATCGAATAGAAAAATAATTATCGCGGTTCAACGTTCCAGCGAAGTTTTTTTCTTAACAACGTTTTACGTCAAATCGCGGTCAGAGAATTCGCTGCCTCGCTTGCGTCACTGTTTGTTTATGAACGAATAAAAAATATGAAACAATGTGTACCTTGAACCCAGTCGGGCTCCAAGTAACAAAACGGATGGACTTCCTTCCCTTCATCGCCGCGATCGCTTGATTTACGTCATTCGGACTTACGTCCCCGCGGTACAGCAAACAGCAACTGGTGTAAGCTCCAGTGCTTTGGTCACACGATACCATCTACGATCCATGGAATCGAATTATGAACTGACGTTGGACGATTTCAAGAAATTTCACCTGATTAGAAGGCTCGAAACACTCGCAAGTGATGTTCTCAGTCGTAATTTCGGCATGCATAGCTCTTCTGGGAGAAATCAACGGAGCGTACGCGGCTAACGCGAAGTGGACTCTTGGATACGGTACCAAGTTCGTCTGCAGTTCATTTAAATTCAAGTTCAAAGCTCCCTCGAACCTCATCGAAGCTGTGATGCTCGAAACGACTTGAGCCTTCATTCGGTTCAGATTCGTATAAGTCGGATTGTCTACGTCCAAGCATCTACAGACGGGAAACAATAAAATAACAAGGATTCGTTGCAGGAGATTTAATCAGTACCTGTCACAGATGTTGTACAGTGCTTCGTTATCAAAGAGAAAACAGCAGTTGACGCTATCGAGAGAGCCGTGAGTGGCGAACACCGCGTTGTATGGTTCGACAATAACCGTGGAAATATTCGGGGATGGGAAAAGGACGAAGTCCAAAGTGATCGTCTTTGGATAATTATAAGCCAGATGTTCCAACAGCAAAGTAGCGAAACCACCTCCGGTACCACCGCTTATCGATCTACGGAGATATTCTATACGTCTCTTACTCAAAAAACGTGAAGTTCTTTTTCTCTGAACCTGAACACGACAAATCCAGATGGTCTCGAGCAGGATTCACATAATTTACAAACGCGTTGGAGCACAAGTTGAATCAATTCTTGGCCGAGGGTGTGGTACCCCCTCGCGTAATTATTCGACGCGTCCTCCTTTCCGGTGATCAAACAGTCGGGGCTGAAAAGTCTCTTGTACGCGCCTGTTCTAATCTCATCGACCACCGTCGGCTCTAAATCAACTATTATCGTGCGCGGGGTCATTTTCCTGACCTGAAAATTAATTTGCGTCATATGAAAATCGTATGTCTTTTATGCCGTCGATTATACGTGTGGCTCACTTGCGTCTCTGCGAAGACGCTGCACATATTGATGTCCGGTGGATAGTAGCCCTGACTGAGGCACCCACTGCTGGATATGCCATGTTCCAAGCAAAACAGTTCCCAACAGGCGTTAGCAATTTGCGTCCCGGCCTGCCCTACGAAAATCGGTATGATTTCACCAGGTTTGCTATCCATCGCATAACCGCGCTCTGCGCTATGAGCTCCCGGTTTTCTTTCGAGTAATTGAGGAACGCATGGTTCAAATAATATGGGACGACACTGAGAATTTTTATCATTATTTCACACTTTTACGTTACTTTTTACGAATCATATTTATTAAATGATTTGTCGGGTGTTACGAATGTAAATGGTAGCGAACATGGTCAAGGTAGAGCGTCAAATTTTTATCGATACGGCTAATTAAAAATTGACACTTCTGAGGAATTTGCAATAACGAAGAGATATTCCGCTTCGTATATGTATATTATTTATTGTGCAACATTACATAGTATGTAATAAAGTTTCTTTCTTCAAACGCTTTCTGCGTGTTCGATAATAATTACTGAAACGAATCGTGGATTAACAACGGTTGCGAACGCTTACGTATCGTCTGTACAACTCCGCGGAGAACGTACATTACAGTACTATTTATCTCTGCCGTGAGCATCCGTAATGGCAGTACTTTAATCGATAAATCGGCTATTTCTATCCTTCGCACGCATAATCTTCCGAGTTTCACTCATAAACAAAATGCTACGTCGTTTCTCCTAACTGATATGTGACTGTTCCCTTCGAGTAACACCGATTGAATAAAAGTAAGAAGTAGAAAACGTCATGTATGATACAAATGAACTTTAACATTATGCGATAAACCAAACGCTGTCAATCGCGTTTTTTGTACTATTACAGATCTGATAGAGGAGATTGACACAGAAGTTGTGCTTTACGTAGAAGTAAAGTCGAAGAGAGGCATTTCCAAAGGAGTCAGAGGAGGCAGGGGCACGTGTCTCAGGGAATGTGCATTGTCCAGTCTACTTTCATCGTTCAGATTAGTGGACACATTGTTAAGTTGTTCGGTTAACTGCCTCACTTCCTCTTCCTTTGCCTCCAGTTGGTTCAACAGGCTGTTGATGAGGCAACGCAATTGGCAGTTAACAGTTCTCAGTTCTTCGATCACTGTTCCTGCGTCCTTTGGAAGTTTAAATGCTTTGTCTGCATTATTTGTAAATGAGATTAGATTAATTAGACTGTCCTGTTCTTCGATCGTCCTGAATATGGCTTGCCGTAAGGATTCATCTAATTTGTCACTCGTAGACGTTATCGTGCTCTTTTCTGTCTCCGTCGGTACTTGTTTGCTAAGAATTTCCCGCTGTTTGTTCTCTAAGGTAGTTTTGTACTCTTCGTATTGTGCTTGTTTCATTCTGTAAAGTCATAGTTCATAAATATTCATAGTCTTCTTTGTATATAAACGTAAACTGTTATTACTCACCTAACTACAGCAGCTTGTCGTTTATGGTAATCACGTTGAAGGGCAAGAGATTCGAGAGTGATTAACGAATGAAAGGACGAGATCACAGTTGGCGGTGGTTGACTAGATATACTGGAGTTCCTCAGATGAACCGAACTAAATTCGAGCTGCGCGTGTGCCTCTCCCAAGAGGCTGGCTACCATCTCATGACACTTGGCTGCCTCCTCGAATCTTCTTTCTAGTAGCAACGCCTCTGCCCTCCTCTGTTTCTCATGGGCCTTTGATAGAAAATTGTAAATCAATGCTCATACACGATGAGACCGTTCGAAACGGCTGGTATCAATGCGTAAAATGAAAAGAAAGAGGTCAGCTAATTATCATATGACATTCGACGAGTGTAAATGCGACGTACATAGTCGTATGTCTTTTTTTTGCAAAATCGTAACTACCAGCTTGCGCAAACGAACACTGTAGATGGTGAGGAACGGCTCGTGAATAAATTACTCACTGTGTAGAATTTATTAGTCACACGCAGCGATAAAAAGCTTGACGAGAAAATCAACAGCGACACTTACCGCGTTCAGGATTGAAGTCTCCATGGCTGATCAGCTGATCGACTGACAATGAAAATAGAGGGACGGTACGTGGGCTACTGCCCGGTAATGGCGCACGTATCGATCGAGCATTTGTTAGTATAATTTATTAATATCATTCATTTTCTAATCGATCGTTTCTCAACGTGTGTATACATCATATTCTTTCAAAAAATTTATTTAAAATCAAGCTTCGTGGTCCGTTACCGATTACTGGTAATAGTAGATTCGTACGTTGTATTTTTCTAGCTCATCAGATGACACTTTTGTACCGTTTCGCGAGTAGAACGAAGCTGTTCGAAAGTTCAGTGTCAGTCCAGCTTTTACAGTGATTATGTTACAATAATTAAGTGATAATAATTAATTAATTAGGTTGAGTGATCAGTGGAGAGAGATAAATATCGAGTCGTTCACCGAGGTAAGTGAAACATCGTACATTTCTCAAAAGATTAAGTAGCTTTTCGGACTTGGCATAAGACATAGCCCTAAAAGTGGTACAAAAATATGGAGCGCGAACGAAGTCGTCGTTTATTAATAACGTGACAATCGCTAACGAGTTTTACACGCATTGCATTGAGAAAACATCATTAGACCGTGGAAACGTGTTTGCAATCACAGAGCGGTGGCCGCGCGAGAGTCGAAAAGGAATTGAGCGTAGGCGTGGACCCGATGCCTTTATAGGAAAACGAGAATCAACGTGGAAACTTAATTATTCGGACTATGAGCAGTGCGCGCGCGCGCGCGGTTCCGTCGAGTGTTTCATCTATTAGAAAATAACGTTGACCTCATCACTGTCGAGTACGAAAAATGTCTATGCCTTTTTAACCCAGGTATCAAAATTACAGCAATATTTCGTATAATCGTTATTGAAGTTCTTCATATAAAATTTCATATTATTATTAATGCAATGATGTCTCGTGTAATGATTGATACAATGCAAATGGATTAAATTGTCGATGCAATATTGTGCTCGATTAATATTACTGATTTCTATAGGAAAGGTAGAAGTAGAGTAACTCGTATCGAGTAGGTGGAACCTGACAGTATTTAATCTCCAGTGAACGATAAAAACGATTCATGAACCCGTGACATTAAATCGATTAGCATAAGTTGTGAATCGAGACCGCGGGCAAATTTGCCATGTAAATAGTGGATCGCATATCCTATTAAACGAGAACACCGTATACGGAGAGGTGACTAGGTTTCTACGGTTCGCCAGCTAGAGTTAGTAGAACGTCCCGTCTGTTTCCTCACGACATCAGACGAATTAGCGCCCGATTAGTGAGCGTAACCCCTTGGGAGCCGAAAAAAAATTCTCACGCTCGCTCCCGGCGTATCGGGAGGAGCCGGTGAGAAAGCAAAGAAACAGACTTTGTACACACACGACGTAACGCAATTCGCCTTAGTAGAAAAGAATAACTGTTAATTAACGATTCACGAAAAGATCCTCAATGGCCGGCATCGATGGTGCGTCTTTAGATTAATAGGACATGGCTTCAACTTTTATCAATCGTTTCTATTCCAAATCTTTTTAATCGTGAAACGTATTTATGAACTGTACTCGTGCAGTTGGTTATTTCGTATCAGTGAAACATGAAAAATCGATGAATCCTAGGAAAAAGCACAGTGGAACCGTTTGGTCGAAAGCTCCGAGCATTGTGCAACGCGAATATAATGGAAGGTACATGGAATAGAGGCAGCGTCGGTGTTACGCAAGCGTATAATCCTAGATTACGGCAATTACATTTTTGTCTGGCAGTGCACTTCCATCCGAATCATATATGGAGGCGCTACCCTATCGGATAGCCATCGGGCGCGAGCGATCTGGCATGCGCGGCCGTTCTCGTGAATGGGCACGGCTCGTGGACCAACGCGGCACGGCCGTATGAATGAAATAGTAAATATAATTGACAGAAGGGCAGGCGTGGGCAGGCTAGTCAGAACAGGCAAGCAGAAACAGGCGGAACGAGGTGCAAGACGGGAACGGCGTGGCGGTTTTATACGCGGCAGGCGTAGGATCGAGGTCATCACCTTTCTATCATCTGAAGAGCCTAGATAGCATTCTTTTTTTTTCTCGTCTCGTACGTTTCAACAGATTCTTTTAAAATCGTCATTCGTCACGCTGTCCGATCAGTCCTTCGGAAGGATCGCTATTTTTAATGTGAACCTTGAACCGACGTTGAATCGACGCTAGACGTCGGATCGGGGTAGCAATGAACGAAAGAACGTCGTAAGGGGATTAATTAATGGTAGTGACGGAAACGGAAGAGCTTGAGAGAGATTTCTATTTCTATTAGAGAGCGATCGCGGTTAAGTAAGAATCCCTGTAGGTCCTGGTACGTGAAAACATTACGTGACGATGAGGACAGATCCGCCCTCGGCCGCGGGTACTGGCTGTTGCGGAGAACGTTGAAGGAGAGCTGCGCCAGTTCTTGCCCGGTCGAGTCTCTGGCTCCTCTCTCTCTCTTTCTCTTCTTCCCTTCTCCCCGTGGGCCCCCTTCCCAGCGGAGTCGTCGAGTGACGACCAAAGACGGTAGGAAGGTACGGTTTCCGGTCGCCCACGCGACAACCTAGCCGGAGCTCTCTCGCGTCAGCCAGCGCCGTTGTGAAAATCCTCTCGATTCAGGTGTCCGCGGAGTGGCAAACCTGGCGTAACACCCTGGTCCCCGTGGTAGGGGATTCAGCCAGCAAAATGGAGAACAATTTGTAGATCCCTGTTCCGCGTTTACTGCTCTCTTAACCCATTTCGTAGTCCCAAAAAGAATCGTTGGTGAACGAACGTTGCGCAAACGCTTGTAAGTTTCAGAGTCGTGGGTTTTCTCCAAAGGCATTTTCCTAATAGCCGCGGTGAACGGCAATTAGCTTTCCTTTCAAACGCTCGTTTTCCAGTTGGATTGCTCAACGAGTAATTATTAGCTTTCAATGTCGGTCCGAAAGAGAGAAATAAAAGGAGGCTAGGCCAGGCTGCAGGGGTTGATTCGAGTCATTGTGATCGGCACGATTAATGATACGTTTCGTACTCATTTTCGTTCATTGTCGATACTAATCGATTATCGGGCCGGGCACGAGTTAAGCCATTAGTTAAAACCAGAATAAATTTCGGGTGAAAGTGGTCTAGGGCCCGAAGGGCCGATCGATCTCGTCGGTGATAAATTTACCTGTCAATTAGACTTCATTTCAGCTTTCGGCTCGTCCGAGAAAACAGTTGGACGCGTTCAACGGACGTAATTAAAAAAGCGTGCGTGCTCGAGTTCGTAAACAAATCGATCGAGACCGTCTCTGTGGAACGTTGAAAAAACAGAATCTCGCAGACTCCCAGAGAACTTTATCGTTTACGTAATTTTTACGCGCGAAAGCGACTGGAGACGCAGCCGCCTAATTAGGAGGCTTCTTATTAATAGCCTGCGCAAACAGTCTATTAGTGGCGCTTATTGGATTTTTATATTTTTTTTTCATCTCGTACGATTGATTAGCGACTGAACGTGGATGCGCGTCGTTCTTCCTTTCTATTTTCTTCTCTTCCTCTCGGTACTCTATGCCCCTGGATGCTGTGTTCCTCACTGAAAGTCCCTTCGGAGAGGTAGGGCACACGCGAGTGTGGGAGGGAGAGTTTCCGGTCGCCCACGCGCCTCCGCAACAACCACTTCGCCGAGGTATCAGGGACAAAACACGGGCCGGCGGATGTCTCTTCTCTTCTCCGCAAATGAAGAAGTCACCTCGCATTCGGCAAACATAATGAAAGACCCCCCGTTTTCTTTTCTGTCCACCGCGGAAGATATCCCTCTGTTGGCTCTTGGCTCCCTGCTTCTGACTCTTCATTACTTTATCTTTAAACCGTTGCTGAACCGCGTCGGAACGCCGCGTTACAGAAGTAATTCGCTACCGTTTATTCTTATAGAAAAATTTAAGAATCCGGCCGATAGTATTCTTGTTTAATTTCTCGTTTAACACGTCGAGGATCGCAAGACTTTGAACGAACGAATTAATTAATCGATATTGAAAATGCTGTAAAAAGTGAAATATTGCATCCGACGGAGGGTACGGGAGGTAGTGGAGCAATAGAAAGGTAGCCAGGCTTAAAAATAGCAATGACGACTGATCCGTCCACGCGTGCACGCGCGATCGGTTTCGCATCGGTTCGGAGTCGTAGGCTTCGCTAGAGGCAGGTCAAGGCGGCCGCGGGAAACACGCTCGTAAACCACCCCTCGCAAATCGTCTTGGCGCAATCCGCGCCGAGTGGTTCACGGTGTACTCCTCGCCGCGTCCGTCGTACCCGTATTCCGTATACGACCGCGTACATGTGTACCTGGATTGAGCGATCACATCCGATCCTCGGCCTCTCCGCTCCTCCCGTCCTCGTGTCGGGCGACGATTCAACCGGAGATAAGGCGTAATTAACATGGAAATTAAGTCGAGTTTACTTCGGCGGAGATAGCAATGGAGCTGCTAGTTTTTAATCGCGCCGCGTTTCTCAGCCGGAAACTGTTAAGATATTATTCCGGTTAACGCGCTCGAACGGCCAATTTGTAACTTCTCCTACAAGTTTCATAAACTGAAATATGTACGAAGTCTTACCTTTTACGTCGCGTCGTTAGTCTCGCGCGGAACGGAGGAGTCTCGCGTTGTTTAGAGAAGCCGAGGACCGGGAAATCGTGCCGACCGATTTCAACGGTACCTCGCTCAGAGCCACTCGAGTGTCTGGGCCCCGTACGCACCACCCACCACGAAAGTACTCGAGGATTGTTCGTCCTTCGAGAGGAGAATTCGGCGTTAAAGCCTGCGTGTTCTCCTCTTCTTTTTCCCCGAGAACCGGGACCATCTTCGAGAGAAGGCGGATTTTTAGGGACGACCGTGCGAAATCGACTCGCACCGGGAAGATCACAGTAATATTGAATAATGATATGATATAATTTAATAACCGTGCCGCTGGATGATGCTTAATGACGATAATGCCGGAGTACCGGCGGCGGCCACCTAAGCTCAGCGGGGAGCCAAGAATTTGCACGTTGTTCCGTTTTATTGCCTCTCTCCTACGTATCGCGAAATTTTCGTTTAATTATCGTGCGTCTATCTTTGCATTTAATT